ATGGGTTGTAACGAAGTTTCATAGGTACTTGTCAGAGAAATGATATTGAACTGACCACATCAAGATCATCTCATGGATCATTATCATGAATTATACTTGATTAAAAGGTACTATCTTTGTATCCTTAACACCTGAGATACATAGTTGGACTTACGTGTAGTGAGTAATGTGCTTAGATATGGTCAAACTTTGGTCCTTAATCGTGCAGTTATAAAAGCCATTTCCAGGTATGGTATGAAGTATGCAAAAGGCTTATGTAGTCAAGATGGGATTTGTTCCTATTATATTTTGAGAGTTAGACAACTAAGGCGCCTTACCAAAAGTTGAACACAAAATGAGATTGATGGCAATCCGTATCTCATGTTCAACACGATGTCTATGACAAAGGGATAACCGATAAACTTACCTTATACACCAATTGTAGCTTGGAGCTTTTTGGGAATTGGGAGTTGGTAGAATGGAACAAAGTTGTATATTGATTGCGGCAGTGAAATGTTGCTAGATGTTCACCACTATCTATATCAGTTTAATATTAATCTTGCGCAAGTGGGAGATTGAAAGATCTTGTATGCTTAAGAATCATATTAAAGTGATATTGTTAATTAACATATGATACAAATGGGTCACACTAACAATAACTTGATAAAACTGATTATTTATTAGAAATTGATTTTAATAAATATTCAATAAACTCTTATAATTAAATTGGAAATTATCTATTTCTTGGAAATAATAATTTTCATTAGCAAGTAATATTACATAATTCATATGGTATGAATTAATAAGTCATGCACACCATTTTGCACTAGATAAATTCTTTATGTCTTTTACCAAAAAGTTAAAGTTTATATTTTATAAACTTGGTTTATAAAGTATAAATGCTTTGTCTTCTTTTTGCCTTATTAATTTCAAAAATACGAGTCAAAAGGAAGAGTATGGTTTTTTGATAATCTTAATGAAAAGAATGGCTAGTCTTACAAGTATGGTGGACATGTTTGTCTAAAGTGATAAAGTGCTAAATGATTAAAGACTTATGGACTTTGTTCTTACTTTGAATACTAGCATCAAAGGCTTTCATTTTGGTTCTTCTTTGGTGATACAAAACCGTAAATTGCATGTAGTGTGTGATACTCTCTCCATTTGTACATTCTTTAAAAGATTACTTGTCATGCATGTAGTATGTGTTACTCTCTCCATTTATACATTCTTTAGAAGATTACTTGCTTTTTTTATGCTCTCTTGAAGTTCATATTGGTTATGAACTTCAAGCTTAAGAGTTAAGAGTTTTAGACTAGAATCTACATCAATTTGATTCATTGTTGGTGTCTCTAAAGTTCATCATTCTTCATCAACTTCCGAGCCTCCCAAGAGAACCCAAAGATCTACAAAGGTTGTTATTTCTTCATCTTCTTCTTTGGTTGGTGTCTAATCTTTCTACAACTTGCAAGATGATCCTTGGTGGGTTAAACTTCTTTTATGTTGTTCAAAATATCAAGTCTTCCGTTGCCTAAAATCTTGTTTTGAAACTAGTTTTTTTCTCAACAATTGATATCTGAGCCACCGTGCAAGTTTGGTTAGATTTTTTGATTTTTGGAAATCTTAATTTTTAGAGAATATGTATAACTAGATTTTGTATAAAAACAAGTTAATACATATTTTCTATAACAACTTTATAATTGTTATTTTTTATGTGACAAAAGTTTCATGCATCTTTGTTATTTAAAGTTGTCTTAGAAAAACAAAGGCTGCTTAATGTGTATGTTGATATGTATGATGTGCATAAACTAGCTAATGACCATTTTGTTTGTTGTGTTGTTGTCTTTGTTGTTTTATTATAAAAATTGTTGTAATAATTTATTTATTCATATGGTATGTAATAAATTAAATAGATTAGTTTTTTTAATTTATTTTTGTAAATAATACATTAGTTGTTAGAAATAATTTATTTGTACAAAAATGTAACAATAAATGAAGTTGGAGCCATTTTTTGAAGGCGAAATATCAATTTTCGATTTTAAAAGCATGCTGAAAGTTAGTGACAGTTTCTGAAAAGTGTCAGTAATTATGTTTCTTAAGGGATGTTGGACTTTTAGCGACAGTTGCTAAAATATTGCTTTCAAAAAGCGTTTCTAATCTTTCGCAAGAAAAATGTGTTTTCTCAAGTGGGAGCGTCTACAACAACATCACAAGAAGATTTTTTTGGTCCCTTAAAATGTGCATTTAGGAATGGACTTGGCATTTTTGTGTTGGTTCACAAAAATGTCATTAGTTGGTTATGTTTATGCACATATATTTTTATGCATGTTTGTGTTGTTTATTTTATACAATTATTATGTGTGGTTGATAAATTAGTTTTTCACATGCTAAAATAATTTTGAACAAAATAAACATCACATGAAGTTTGGTTTTCGAAATTTATAATGTGAACATAGGATAAATTATTGTTTTAAAAATAAAATCTAGTTTTATAAAAATGTTAATAACGTCAAATTTTAAATTACTCAAATATAAGTTTCAAAATTGTGATTTTTGTAACTTATACAAACTCCAAATATATAAGTAATAAAAGGAAGTTTTTATTAAAGATATGAAAGGTTCAAATGCACTCAAACTTAATACCGGTTATTAAAATTGAATCGCGTCAAATTATATAAAAACTAACTTTTTATATAGAACCTTTAAAATCGATTTTCTTTTGAAAATTGGTATAATGGTTCATTATATGCATGTAATAACCATGATATCATATGTTTTTAAAACTAGAATTATAAAACTTAAAAGACCCCTTACAAACCTCAAATCTATGCAATTCGTTTTGAAGAACACTCGCGCATCTCTTGTATGCACTAGTGGGAAAAAGGATACCTAACCGCTTAGTGTTATCTTTAGATGGTCAGGGTGTTTTCGAAATTTCTATAACCAAGTAATAGGCCGATTACACTAGTTTTTCAAATTAGATGATTTGATCGGAAATCTTTTATGATGAAGAATACCTAAGCAAGAGAGTTATGTGGCATAGATGAGATCAAACATATGGATATATATTAGGAAATAATAAATACTGAAACATACAAATGCATATATTTATCAGCTATCTGGTAAGTATTTATTAGAATTGATGCTACATATAGAAGGTACTTACTGTTACGTGATCATGAAGTCAATGTGTCAACTTCCCGTGATTGCCACTCGGATTCAACATTCACTTCATGTTACACTTCTACTCAATCCCATTTCTTGATTGTACGTATGGATGTTGTGTAGCCAATTTGAAATTCGCACATGTTTAGCACGAGTTTGAAATTAAAAAAAAATGTTTGTAATTTTTTTAAATTGGATAAATAATTTGTAGCGTGTCGAAGTTGATAAATCAGGTATTTGACTTCGCAAGAGTCAACTGTATATATTTGTATGGAATAAAGGTAGTGCGAAGCTCCTTTTGTGCCTTATTTACTTAGAGTATTTTTCTTGCCACTTTAAAAGCCAAGGGTACTCACAATTTTGAACATGAAAGTAAAGCATACTAAGAGTTGATATGACCAACCATATGATTCATTTCTAATCGTAATATGCTTAGTTTCAAATTTGTACAATTTTTTTAATACCATTTTAAAATTCTTAAAAAATAGAAAATAAAAAAATCAAAACTTGGTGAGAGGGAAACACAAGATCAAGGTTAGGTGCATAATAATAAAACTTAGAATGTTCCAATTATTAAAAAAGAAAAAGAAGTGAAGTGCTAAACTTATCTAAACACTTAATTAATATTAAGTATAAAATAACAACTAATAGGAAGATACTATGGGTGTTTGGATTCCTTTTTAACATTAAAAGTCTATTTTGTAAAAGGATTTTTTCCAAAAGTAGTTTTTTAAAATGTAAACTTTTAAGGAGCAAAAACCAAAAGTTGTTTTAAAAAAGTGTTTGGCTTCACTTTTATCTGTAAAATGACTAAAAACGACATGCTTACATATTTTCAATGATTTACTACTTTACACTATTTTATACAATAACAATTTTTTACACATAATTTCTAAATTTGTAAACATTTTTTTAGAAACTATATAATATAAATTTCTTTTAAAATATTTCTAACTTTTTTATTAGACCATGATAATATTTAAATTATGTTTATACAAAAGCGAAATACAAATTGTAAATAATTCATAAAGAAGATCATTAATAGTGCCATATTACATTCATGTCCGCAATGTGATTAAATCTTCTGCAATAATATCTCGTATCGTTGCCATATACGAATTGTCATCACTCGTGCGACATGTACCTGGGCCTTCTTCGTAAACTTCACTACTACTACCATCTCATGTGGGCTTGTAGGATTCTTATTATGCCCTATTGTATGATTCATTAAACCTACCAACCTTTCTAATATAGTTATGGATCGTCATTGATGCTATCACAATTCTCACTTGGTTCTTTTGCTTGTAATTAACATGCATGTCTCTTAATAACGTCCACCTAGCTTTCCACACTCCAAAAGTTCGTTCATAGATATTTGGTCCACGAGGTTTACGTATAGCAGTTGTGTGTCCACGTCGAAAATCCGTTATATGATAATGAATATTAGCGCCTTTGTATGGATCTGTGTGTCCATCCTACATAATACAAATATAAAGATGTCAAACAATAAAACATAATAAAAAATGTTGATTACATAACGACGAACAATAATGCATATTATAAAATGTCGAATACATAATGTCAAATGTCAAAGGAAAACACATAATGTGAAAAGATACCACATAATGTCAAAGAATAACACATAAAACGATAAGACATGATTTCAAATGACAAATCATTATTTCATAATAAACTTAAGGAAGTCAATCTTGGCTTCATCAATGGTTGGAAACATAAAAGCGTCATGATTTTGCTTTTTGGTGAAGACAGCCAATGCTTGTGAAAATTCTTTGGTCCCTTCACGAAAATTGGGAAACTTGATGACAATGGCCATCCAATCTGCTATTGTTGTGGAATGATTATTTTGTGGAAACGTTTGTGTGCTTTTTGACTATATGGCATATTTTACGCTTGGTTGAACGATTGTTGGAAAATGACTTTTTCTTCTTCCTTTTAGTTGAACTACTTTCATGGAAACTAGGAAAAAGAGGCTCATTATCATCTAAATTGATTTCATCACTATTTCCTTTGCCTTCCATATTTTTTTCGTTCAGATTGCTATTGTTTTGAAATTGTAACGGAGTCATAGTTTGATCTCCAATGGCAATGGAATCCCGAAACAAAAGAGCATATTTCTCATCAAATATGCTCAAATCTGTGTTCCTAAATTTGGCATATTCTTTATTCGCCTGCAAGAAAAAAAGATAATGTATATCAAAAAGAAATGTAAGTCATAACTTTAAATAAAAAAAAGAATTGTAAGTCATACCTTTATTTTCTCCTCCCATGACTCATGTGATGCCTCTATTAGGCTTCTCGTCCCACTGAGTCTGATTTCAAGCCTCATTAAGCGGTCATAAAGCTTCCACTATTTTTTTTCATGTTCTCCCATTTGTTTGTTAGTTGTTTTTTTTTCAAGACTGTAGCCTGTTTTATGCTTCATGTGTTTTTGTAAATTCTCCCACCTAACCTTATCAAAGTGAGTACCAGGTCTATGGCATTTTCTTAGTTCAATCAAGCACGAATCGACAACACCATGAAGGTACAATTATCCCATATGAATTTTGGTTTTTTCATTTTTAAAGATGTTTCACAATCAACAACATTAGTGTGGTTTTCGTCCATTATCAGTGAATTACATAGTATCAACATTTATACAACATAAATATCAACCTAACATCAAACCAAAGTAACACCAATTCACAGACATAAGAGACTGTAAACCAAAAAAAATGTAACCGTTATATGCAATTTCTCTAATTTCATCAATTTCATTAACATTTCTAACTGATTTCACCAATTTCACAAATTTCTAATCAATCTTTCATGAATTCTACTTCATCAAAATGGAAAAAATGGAAACAAAAATTCATTTTATAAGGGCCTGTTAACAAAAACCCACAACACAGCTACATATCGATTTAGGGGAATCAGTATAGGTTAACAAACACACACAACACATGTACAATCAATTTTATCGATTTGAGGTGCATAAGTACTGATAAGGTGCATTACAGAAGGAAATAGGGATAACCAAATCATACATTTGGGGGGAAAAGATGAACAGATCGAAAATCTCGGAACAAATAAAGTAAATCGGAGCTGAAGCTTACCTGAATGGAGAAGGAGGTAGGCAAGCCAGCAACGGTGGTTGGCTGGAGGAGGATCGTCGACGGGAGGAAAAATGGTGTATCTGATAGTGAATGAGAAGAAAAAAACGAGAACATATACGTAAAAGGGGGTGTGTATTGATTAGGGTAGTTGTGAGGGCATTATTGTAATTTAACTTTTTTCAGGTTAAAATGTCTCAAAAGTATATGAATTCTCGTCTTTTGTCCAACGAACTTTTTCGTCATTTCTAAAAGTTGTTTTAAAAAGATCTTTTCACTTTCCCAAACAACTTTTGAGTTTCTTTTTTTTTATACTTTTTAAAAAAGTTAAAAGATAAAAAGTTGGTTGAAAAGGAATGCCAAACACCCTCTATATATTAACTTTACAATGTTGGTTGTTTTTAGCGTAAAATTCTTTATTATAAAGAGCCAACTCTCCAAAAAATGACAAAAATAATGGAACAAGTAGCATAAATTAGTTCTATAAAGTTAGTTGCTATTATAAATTAACTTTACAAAGTTGGTTGTTATTTATCAAATATCTACACATAAATAAAATCGTTGGGATATTCAAGCCAATTTACATATCAATTTGAACTAATCATAAAGAGGCAGGATCTTATTCAAATCTTTAAAATTTTGAAAAATAAAAAGCAAAAAAGAGTTGGGTGAGATAGGCGAGTCAATGAGTAAAATGCCCTAAAACGGCACTTATGGCCACAAAAGCGGGCTAAAACACGACTTTGCCTTTTTCCGTTCCAGACTCTTTTTTTTTTTTTTTTTTTTTTTTTTTATGATTTGCCGATCATGATACTGCTTCCATGATAATACTATGTGATATTATCAAGTCAGCCTTGCATTAGGCTTGAAAATAAAATTAAGTTTAAGAAAGTAAACTGACCAGAAAGGCGAATCCAAAATTGATGTACCGTAATAAAACTTTGCTTCTCCAAATATAATTCAGACTTTTATTGCAGAAATATTTTTTACAGAGGAGGGATTACAAGAGAGAAAGAGGAAATTGGCTTTCAGCCTGTCTAAAACATAAGGTAGAGGCTCCTTAAATAGATCAGGAGGACTCAAAAACAAACAAAACCTGAATTATTACATTTAGCATTGGCAGACAACTTTAAGAAAAGTAGAAATGACTTTTTGTTTGATTCTTCTGGCTTTAATAATGTCTGACGAGTATTTTCCTCTGTCTTCAATAATTCTTGAAGAATATATTCTTCTTTTATTTTGGTCCATCCACCTGTCACCTATAGTCTATTGTGGTGATGTCTTTTTGTTTTTTGAAAGATTCTTTCTTTGCGTGATTGACTCCTCAATCATGTCAATTATACAATCAATTGGGAGTTCTCCATCTGGAACTTCTTCATCATCTGGCTGGGATTCCCCTGCTAAGCATGGTGATTGGCCTTGGCTTTGGTTATCAACTGACATATTGTCTTGAATATCTTCATTTGAACCTTCATCTGTATCATGTTTTGAAAATCTTTTAAGATTTTCTTTTAATTCAGAACAATATAATCTGAATGACTTGATCATTTCCTCTTTAGTTAAATTAACTTTTTGAGGAGTTGAGGGGGTCACTTCTGTTGAGGAGGCTATTTCCGAAAAGAGTTTTTGGTCTTGGTATTTCTTAATTTGTTGATTGATATGATCAATTGTTTCCTGAGCATTAAGGGTTTTTGTTTCTGGATTCTTGTGAAGCATTTTAGGCCAAAATTTGGTAAAGTATGACCTTTGTAGGGAATGAAATTTAGAGGGAGTATAATCCACATATGGGGACCATTTCCAGATCCAAGGAATAGAAAATTCCATGAAAAAATGCATAGAAGATATTACTTCCAATCCTTCTGATTTCAAGGGTATAACTTGGTCTCGGTATCTTGGAGAGACAAGTAACCATTCCCCATATAATTTCCTGAATGGTTCCTCAGGGAGGATATCTATACTCGGGCCGTATGAGATCCACCAATTAGTAAACCAATTTGGTATATCTCTGTTTTGATTATAAACCTTTTCACATACTTTAAAAAACCAAGTATGCTTTTTCTGAGGATTTTCATATAAAAAGGCTTTATGAAAGCTTTCAATATAATCCCAATATGTAAATTTCATTGGTATTTTTGAAGGAGGGATTAAAAATTCTTTTTCCTTGAGGGTACTTAAACCCCATTCCTCAGGTGATATGATCTTTTTGATAATGGCTTTACTAAAATTGTAAACACTGGTATTACCTCCGGATGTAAAATGAGAAAATTCAACTGATCCGGTTATTTTCAAAATATTTTCATAATATAATCTTTGTTTGTAAGAATATCCAACGTATGTCGCTGTATCCAAGTATCTGGTCATTAAAAACCATGGATCGTCATTATTCTCAAAATAAAGCATTATATCTTTATGTTCCAAAATAATAATATTATCTCTATGAGGTGATTCCTTATATTCAAAATTATCGTTGATGGTTTCACCATCTGTGATCATTTGAGCGAGAGTGGGAGTATTTTCCCTTTTTGATTCCAAAAATGCTTTAAACTCCTCATATAATGGGCTTCCAGGAACTGGAAGAGATTGATCATTTGTTTGTGATGAATTTCCAGTTCTATAAGAACTGCTTGAAGCCGTAGGATTTCCCCGACCTCTATGATAACCACCTCTATATGAAGGATGGCCTCTTCCGCGATTGGGATTCATCCTGCAAATGGAAATGTTAATTTAAGAGTAATATGAGTTTGTTTTCAAGATTCTTGAGTTGGATCCTTAATCCTATCAATCTTAAATTAATTCCTGTCTTACTGGAATATGGTTCGTTTGCTAAGTTGGCCAGTTCAACATCTGCCTTATTAATTAAATTTTTTATATTAGTAATATCATGTGATAACTGTCTTAGCTGGTGATAACTCATTTAGGAATTCTCTAGTTAAAAAATCGGGAAGACTATTATCACTTTAACTTTGTAAATTAATAAATTTTTGCAAATCATTGATTAATGATTATATTTTTTTAATTATTAATTTTGTTTTTCTTTGTTAACCGTAATTTCCACGGGTTATTACATAGTTTTATATATATATATATATATATATATATATATATATATATATATATATATATATATATATATATATATATTCTATTTCCGACCATTAAAAGAAAAAGAAAAAAATGGCACAATCACAGCAAAAGAGAGGAGGCGGGGCGGGGGAAGCGTCCCCTTACTCGGCTCCCACACCCGGCTTCCTACACCCTCGGTAATGTGTTCCAAGATACGGATAAGCTTCCCCCTACTTTTTATTTTTTCCACTGTATAACCTCGAGTCTTAGAGCATCTCCAATGGACCTCTATTTTTGTGTTATAGAGGTCAAAAATACTCCAATCAACCACTAAAAGTGGTCTTTATTTTTATGGGAAGAAATATGGCCTCTATATATAGAGGCCACTATTCATAACACCAAATCACTTTTTCCTTTAAAATGGTTATTTTAATTGCTTTTTGGTTTGTATAATTATTGTTTTATATTTTATAATATTAAAATATATTTTAGTGTAATTTCTTAGTGTGTGCTTGGAGTTAAAATAAATTTTGGTGTTAGTTTTCTAAAAAAATAATGTACTTTTTAGTGGTAAGGTTGGAGTTGTTTGTAGAACCAAAACCATTTAGGGTGTTATGGGGTAAACGAAAAGTATGGAGTGCAATAAATGTGTTAGAGACTTGAGAGTCGGAGACAAGGGAACATCCACGTGGCGGGTTCGGAGCACACATTGTTTTTGTAGTCCTAAGTGTATACAAACGCTGCAAATTTATTGTACCGTTTCCTTTATTTTGTTAGTATTTTATGATATGAAATACACTGTTTCCAGGTTCAAAATAAAGATGTTAGTATTTTTGTGAACTACATTTAGTTTTCAGGTACAATGTTTGGTCGAGATTTATGGATGTCTTTTATTGTTTTCAAATGATATACTAATTAAATAATTAATAGCATTAATTATTTTGTAAACCCCGTAATTATACTGCATCCATAATCGGAAAGATTTTTGGTATATACTTTTAATGAAAAAACTTTAAAGAAAAAACTCAATTTATCTTCACTAAAGAAAAAAAAAAGTTAATTCGTTTTTTAGGCATTGTTTGTATAATGTCTATTTCAATTGGTTGAAACTATATAACGGCCATCAAATTATTGAAAAAATCTTAATACAAGAGTTTATTAATTAACAAGCTTT